GCACAGCTGCTTTGGGGACCAAGGGTTAGCGGCCCTCACGTATATAACGGGGCCAAGCAGCAGGGCTGGGCTGCAGGCTGCCTGCCGCTCACCCAGCAGGGCTGACCCGGCCCCGGACAGCAGCGCTCGGGAGGCAGGAGCTGCAAGGGCTGCCACTCCCCCGCCCCGACAGGGCAGCGCACACCTGGGCACAGATAAAGCAGCTCCCAAAACACAGCAGCTCCCCTCTGTGAGCGCAGCCCGCAGCAGGACACGCGCCCTGCTCTCCTATCAGCACCGACCTGCTGCTACTCGGGCTCTGCAGCGGGGACGTCGCGCAGTGTTGGGAGCCAGCCAGGCTCAGAGCCCTTCTCTRCAACAGCTCCTCCAGGATGGCCACCTCCGGACAAGTAAGGCACTTSACTTGCTTTTTTTTCTTCTCTCAAAGGCACTCTTTTCTCGGGGGTGTAATCTTGCCAGGGCTAACACTGTGAGCCTGTTGTGCTTCTGGTTTCTTTGCTGAGCTTACTCCAACTCATCCAAATGGCGCTGATTGCAGCACTGCACTTTGATGCAGTGCAGTTTGCCAGAACCTGTGGCGGCGTCCCTTTCTGTCACTCAGCTCAGCAGGAAGATACTGACCAGGGCTGGTCTGAGGACAGACTCCCGCTGAAGCCAGCTCCTGTGCACCCACTTCAGCAGCGAAACRCAGGGGCAGCAGGTGCCTGTTCCCTGAGCTGCTGACAGCGTTGCCTGCTCCCTGACAGAGTGTTTCTGAACACTTAGTGAGGCGGCTTGTGGGATTAAACTTCCTCCGGGGCACACACAGCCTGGAAACATTACGCCGCGAACAGCCTGTTGTGCAGCACGGAGAGCTGTGGGAGCAAAAGCCTCTCTGCTTTGCCCACACCAGGACCTCAGGAGAAAGAGGCCTCCGTAGGTCAGGGGCTTGCCCAAGGGATGGCTCCTGTGCACTGCCTCGTGCTGCTGTGCAGCCACCCACGTGCTGGGAAGGGAGATGCACGCGGTGCYGCGCTGATTTGTGCGCTTGTCAGGACTCTGCCCACACAGCGTAACCCTCTGTTGCTTCCAGGTGATCAGATGCAGAGCCGCTGTGGCCTGGGAGGTGGGCAAACCACTCTCTGTGGAGGAGGTGGAGGTTGCACCCCCCAGAGCGAGAGAAGTTCGTGTCAAGGTAAAAGCTTCTTTCACTATGTTCCCTCTTAGAATCATAGAATGCTTAAGGTTGGAAAGGACCTCAGATGTCATCTAGTCCAACCCCCCTGCTCACGCAGGGTCACCCAGAGCACGTGGCACAGGGCTGCGTCCAAGCGGGTTTTAAAGATCGCCAGAGAAGGAGACTCCACAACCTCTCTRGGCAGCCTGTTCCAGGGCTCTGTCACCCTCTCTGTCAAAAAGTGTTTTCTCAAGTTCCTGCGGAACTTTTGGTGCCTCAGCTTGTGCCGGTTCCTCTAGTCCTGTCGCTGGCCACCACTGAAAAGAGGCCAGCTCCCTCCTTCTCACTGCCTCCCTTGAGGTTTTTATAGACACTGATCAGGTCCCCCCTGAGCCTTCTCTTCTCCAGGCTGAACAGACCCAGCTCTCTCAGCCTTTGCTCATATGGCAGATGCTCCAGGCCCCTGATCATCCTGGTAGCCCTGCGCTGGACTCTCTCCAGCAGCTCCACATCCCTCTTGTACTGGGGAACCCAGAACTGGACGCAGTACTCCAGATGTGGCCTTACCAGGGCTGTGTATAGGTGGACGATCACCTCCCTCGACCTGCTAGAGATGCTCTTCCTAATGCGCCCCAGGATCCCGTTGGCCTTCTTGGCCACCAGGGCACACTGCTGCCTCATGGTCATCTTGTTATCCACCACAACACCGAGGTCCCTCTCTGCGGGGATGCTCTCCAGCTGGTCCACCCCTAATCTGTACTGGTGTCSGGGGTTATTCCTCCCCRAGTGCAAGACCCTGCACTTGCCCTTGTTGAACTTCATGAGATTTCTCACTGTCCAGTCCTCCAGTCTGTCCAGGTCCCTCTGGATGGCAGCACAGCCCTCAGGGCTATCAGCTGCTCCTCCCAGTTTGGTATCATCAGCAAACTTGCTGARGGAGCACTCCAGCCCTTCATCCAGGTCGTTAATGAATAAGTTGAACAGGACAAACACAGCGGTGGGCAAACCACTCTCTGTGGAGGAGGTGGAGGTTGCACCTCCCAGAGCAAGAGAGGTTCATATCAAGGTAAAGCCTTCTTTCACCATGTTCCCTCTTCCTCCTGGGGATTACTGTCCTTGTGGATGTGCCCTGGGTACAGCCTTGCACACCTCTTCGAAGGGAAGATCGGAGATTGGGTAGCATGAGTTCTACTTAAAACCTTCCCAGCTCCTCTTACCTGACGGCTGCTGGAATGGGCAGAGACA